GGATATGGATATCATGAACAAAACAGTATACTCTGTTATATCTATAGTACTGCTCATGTCTATAGGCGACGGTTACCACTTTCCATCAGGTGGGCCGTCAGCTTGTTTGCTATTCGAAGTTGCATAAAAAAAATAATCTTAACTACTAAGCTCTATATAAAGTGGACGCTGAATATATATCTATGTCATTTGTCTCAAGCTAACAATGAATTTTTATTCAGACACGGTTTTCCCAACGCCTCGCACCGGCGCGACGTAGGCGCAGTGCTCTGTGGTACTGATGTTACGCACGCTTGTCTTAATTTAGGGTTGTCACTATATTCATGTTGTATATTTTTTAAATATTAAAATTGTTTTATGATTTATCTTATTAAAATAATACCTATCTACTCTTCTTTAACCAAGGATGTCTGTAAAAGATCGCCAATTTGACTTTTAGTTGACAAAAAGTTGACCCGTGTTTGAGGCTCGATGCTCTATCTATATAACCTATTTTTATGTTTTTGGTGCAATAAAGAGTTAAGTAAAAAATACCTAACCGAGCGCACTTATCCAGGACTATATATTAATTAAAGATTGATAATAATAACCGTCGTCCATAGATAATAACAACTTTAAGAACATCAAACATTATATAACATATATACTACTATAATAGTAAGACCTGTGTTTTTTAAGAATGTTTATTTCTGAGGTGATTTTTTTTTATAATTTATTAATTATTAATAAAATTGTAATATTAGGATTCACGTCAGGTTCTTGAATTCGAATTCTCGACCAATTCAATCTACTAAATTCAATGATCAATCAATTCGAAATAATTCATACATAACAAGAAGTTAATTTTTCAACATTAATAATAAAACAAATTTATTTTGTGCCAGTGTAGTTTGCTAACAATCGTCATTTTTGACGGGCATTTGTTAGTTGTAACGTATGAATAATATTTTCAATATACATGAGTCACATCGCCATAATTTTTTTTTTTATATTACAAAAAATAGCTGACGGTTAATCCTCACAGAAAGTGATAAAACCGTCGCTTATGCATGCAGTTATGAGTAGATATGAAATAAACTCATGGGTATCTACGCATAACGCATGGGTATAACGTATGTATGCGTGAAGTCGACCCTGAGTGCTACACTTCTTAGAAAAGTTATTTTATTTATATTAAATATAAATTTGATCACTATTTGAAAGAGAAGTGAATAGCTTTCGAAACTAGTATCAATACGGATGAACGGATAGACTAGTATAAATAGAGTCATTTCACACTTGGTTTGTTCTGCTTACCCTGTAAGCGACCTAGCGTAAAAACTAGATTTTTTTCATTTGCAAGAACATCAACAAAAACACAAATTGACATACTTTATTAACTTTTTACTATAAGTTACTTAATTTTTTTTAAAAATTAGTGTATACTAAATTTGCCAGCAAAATCTTTAATTTATTGTATAAAAAAATTCTGTAGATTACAGATTTGTTCTTAATAAAATTTTATTATAATTACATAAAAGATATCAATAGATCTCAATGTGTCATACAAAATGTATTTAATTTTATTTTCATGAAACTACAACCCTAATGTAACCTGTTACTGGGTTATTTCATATTACGACCATACAAATGCGTTGTATTGCCGTGTCTAAAGTCATTACACGGGCATCTTTATTTTTTTCGCCAACTAGTCTACCTATTTATATATACGTTTAGTATTTTTACAATAGATATTACCAAAATTTACATATCAATAGAAAATGTATACAATACATGGACATTTCATATTTGCTTGCAAATACGAAACAAGCTAATTTCTGTAAAGGCCGTATTAAATAATTCGCGTACATATAGATATATTTTAACAATTTTTTTCTCACATATTTGATTCTATTATATTTTTAACCAAAAATAACCCTACATACTATATTATATTTTTAAAACAAGAATCTGTACAAGTTGCAGTTCGTTTTAATCAATTGCTTTATTAAACTGTATGATCAAGCGCACGTTGATATCTTTTCATACATTCAAAATTATTTAGTGAAAAACATTAAACGAGCTCCAGTTTTTATTAAATGATTGTGTACCAAATATTACTTGTATTAATAAGTATTGGGCCATAGATAGGCCACACTTATACTTAGAATATAAATACATTTTTTTATAAATGCTCTATATTAATAGTACAGTATGTAATTGGACAACTACATCATCATCATCATCATCATATCAGCCTTTAACTGTTCACTGTGAACATAAGCCTCCTTCTTGGGGGGTTTTTCCAGAAATTGCCATGCTTAGCAGGCTGATTAGCAACCGCAGTCAGGGCTTTAGAGACGTTTCAAGAGGGACGTTATTGCCAAACCCTCATCCTCCCTTAGTCGACTCTCATAACACCCAAGGGAAAGGAAGGGATGGTCTATTCTATGCTGGGACCACACGACCATCTACATACCGTATTTATAACAATTCTTTTTACACCGCAAAAAAATATAGACTACTTTCATAACCACCATATCAGTCTTTATATGTCCACCAGTTTCTTTAATCATACATACGAGTAATTTTAGATTGTGTTATATAAAAAAACTTTAATGTGGTAAAATCAGTAATTTTGGTTTTAAATCTAAAGTACTGAACCGATTTTGCTATAATTTCTATGCAACTAATAGTAAATATATCTTTCCAGATAAATAAAAATTCAATCGGTTCTTGACTGACGGAGTTGTGAGGTAATAATCAAAAAAATATATAACAGATTTAAAGAAGCTCCTTCTTTTTGAAGTTGGATGAAAATATAATTATATCGTTACAATTCATATATATGGACGACGAGATATTTCGTAGACACAAAATTTATACCGTACAAAATTTATATGAAACCAACAAAGAAGAACAAACCTATTAACTGTAAAATTAACTGTCAAAATAAACATAACAATAATCAAATAGTAAAACCAGTGTTTTGATTTAAAAACTAAATTACTGTTTAATTTTAAAAAAAATTATAAGCGACCAATCTGAAAGCACATATGTACTTTTAAAGAAAAAAATATAACATTTCGGATTATAAATATCGGAATTTTGAGGTAACAAATATAAAAAAAATACAACCGAATTTAGATCTTCTTTCTTTTTTAAAGTATTTTGAAAAAAAAAATACTCATACAGACAATTTGAGAACTTTATTCTTTTTCAAACCACTTAAATATGCTATATTCAAAATTATAGATTTCTATACTGTCTGTAAACAATAAAAATAGTGTTATATATGGTATTTAACATAAGTATACAATAGTACATACTTAATATATAAAGTAATATTTACATATTGGTTTAAATACATTATCGTTGTTTTAATTTATTTTAATAATTTCAAATTATATAATAATAATTTGGGTTTAAAGATTCATAAAGAGTTATATACTCCAGTTCACTGTAATAAATTACTATGAAGAACATTTCTGCTTACTGTCATAACAAAAGTACGTTTTTTTTTATGAATTCTTAAATTATTCCATAATATCAATCTATAAATAAGTCAGGGTCAATTCTATATCAAGCTACTATAACCCGAGCAAAATTGGATTAAATTCATAAAAATAACATATTTATTATTTTAATGGTAGCGTTTGTAATAAAATAATTATGAACATCTATACCGCTAATGATGCAAATGTTAATCGAAGTAAAGAATTCAATTAATGCTTATACACTAAAGTAAAGATTATATCTAGTTAATTTTAATAGTATTGGAAACGATCTTTGTGTTAATGGCTTATAGGTAGGTAAGTTCTTTATATTTTTATATCAAATATGTGTTGTTAATTAAAGTTTTTTTCAATTGTGAAATACGTTTTTATTAATATTCCTATTTCAAAAGTGGTATTTCAATATAAATTTGTAATTTAATAGTAGAATTTTAATGGAAATGGGTTGAGTTAATGCGACATGAAAACGTATCAGATACTGTGTTTGTCTTTACCATTTTAATACAAAATGTAATTAAATGGTATATTTTACCAACTATAATATCAGATAAAAAGTTGAAATAAGTACTTTCAGAATTATTTTTTTAAATAATTATGAAATCTCAAAACCAGCCCTTTAATTATGATATGATTGAATGAGTCTTATTAATTCGTTTGTAAACTTGATTTTAAGTTAGATTTATTTATTTTATTGAAAATGGCAAACAAAATTATTTCCGCAAAATAAAACCTATTTCAATAACCAATAAATCTGATGGATAGATACAAGTTCTCAAGAATCGCAACCGAAACATGTACGGAATGAAGGTATAACACGCAAGTTCTCAGCCATGTACGCATAGTTAATTAATTTTGCACATAATTTTTATTGCATATAATGTGTTAAACCTTATCTTAATAATCAACCAATATCCCTTTGTCTACACTGGGTTCTCCCCGTAAGAAATAATAACCTACCACCATGCCAATCAGGTTGCTTCGTACAGGATTATAATTCCAATTTTCTATCTCTGGCACACGAGCTTTATTTCCTTAGTAGGTAACTAAGAAAATAAAGTACAAATATACATAATAAAACATGGCGATGAAAAGTGGTGACATATCGTTGGTATTCTTATTCAGTAACCACGCGGTTATTTAGGTGTTAGATATGGCAAAAAAATTTAAGTTGATTTGTCCATTTTAGCGCTCCATTTCTACAGACAGATATATATATTATACTATTACTATTTATGTTGGGAGCTTAAAACAGTAAATACATCCTAAACGCTATTCTCCAAATCACAAGGGAGTTCCAGCGACTGTGACATATCTAGTAATATAGACCACATGAAAATATGTGATCCGTAACTGTTTCCGTTTGCTGTACCAATAAACCATAACTAATCATGAATTCCAACCGGAACACATACATCATCGGAAGTTTATACACTGCTCTATAACCACTGACCAGTGTCGGGCCAGCTGAGTTGAGGTCTCTCAAGTTTCGAGTAAAAGGAACCTGCCATATATTGTTCAGTAACCGCGTGATCGTCAGAGTGTACACACGTATTGTAATTAAACATGTTACCCGCGACATTGCAGACCTCTTAGGAATATTTCGTGTTTATAGAGTTTGTATATCAAACGTGACAGTTTTGTTTATTATTTGTGGAGTAGCTATTTGGAGAAAGGTTTTGGTCAAATTGGCGGCAATTGAGGACAACAAGGTAAGGGTTAAGTTTGAAAGTTCACAGTTGGCTTTTACTTTTTAACTTTCGCGAAGTATTAATGAATTTATATAGTATGACATTGTAAATATACAGGTGGACTTTTAACATTGGCTATTATGTGCCAAAAAAATTGTGTTTCGAACATTGATAATTTTTTTATTACATAAATATTAAGATTTATTATTTTTAATGGTGATTTATTATATTGTACGTTTAGGGTATGTTTTGACCGACATAAAAATAGAGAAAGTTCTCGAGTCAAACTTTGTTTTATTTTGTACATAATGTGTGTAATATTATGCAATATCTTTGACAACTTCGAATTGATTTGGGAGATTATTTTTAATTAATAAAGTTTACTACTCTATTTATCTCATGTTTATTTAGTCATAGAATTTCGTTTTTGAATCCAATAAATATTATTTGATATTAATACTAAACTGAGTCTGCCCGTTACTTTTTTCGGTATAAACTAACAAACTATTGCGTGAATTTAGATGAAATTAAGGCAGAGGTTAAATTTTTTTAATTGTATGATGATGTCACATACTTATTACGTCGAATTACATACGTACAGGTAATTCAACCCCACCGTCCTATATGACATAATCGTAAACGCAGTAGCAGCCAGTTTTAAATGTTTTCACATGTCGTCACATAATATAATCAACAATTCATTCAACCAAAATTTATTTTACTGGAACTTCGACTTTAACATAAATAAAATATATGTACTTCATATTTTGAATTCAAATAAGTATGTCTAATTTGTTTCCTCTCGTCTTGTTGATAAACGTTTCTTTAAATAAAACAACGAATTGCTAAAAAATAAGAATGCATACACAAATATTTTTAAATTCAAAGATTGTCTGGAAGAGATTGCTTTAGCGATAAGACCACCTCTGTATATATATTATTCTTATGAAGTACAAGATATATTCTTTAAATAATGCAGTAATAAGTAAATAAATATACATTTAAATTTTTTAATAAGAATAAACGTTTTACATTTTTAATACTCGATTAGAAATAAAAGTTTCGTTAGGATTATAGGATTAGACGTTTTATTTTTATTATAAAAATTATTGTCTATGGAATTATAATTACTAATGTAATGGGAAAACCGATGTATAGTATAACAAAAATTACGCCATCTAATCCAATATTCAAAGTGAAAAATGTAAGTATTTCATCTCATTTCATCATTTATCAAATGCAATTGTTTAATTTACACCTGCTCTAGGCGATTTTTTTGATGTATTAAAATGAAGCTATGATCTGATCGCACTATCGATTGATGCTGATAAGGTATCTGGTAGATTCTTGTAAGGAATAATAAAAAGAACAAAGTCAAATCAGGTTGTCTCGTCGTGACGAATTCATTAGAAATTGACTATAATACAGATATAGGTGTACAAAGGCTAAAGGTTCGCATAACAATTGAGTAGGTACGGAATGGATCCTGTCAAATAAACCTACATAAAATCCCTTATGGTTAGGTCAACCATGACAACTGATTTGACTTCAACCTTATTGTTTCGGGTGAAGGGATTGTTAGTATTGTATACTAGCAACCCGATTACTAGCAATGTAGTACTCTGTCAGGGAGACCGCGAGGAGCTCGACCTGAAAGTGTTTTTTGTTAGTAATCGGGTTGCTAGTATCATAGGAAATCATCATGCTTAATTCCACGTAAATTAGTCACGATGGGTTAACCTTTATCCTTTTCTGATGATGACCTGCCTTTTATCCTCACTTATCATCCCTCACTGGTAGCCCACCAGCGTATCTCGTTATAATAAAATTAAATTAACTCAGGCGAAATTACAATTTTGCTATAAAAAAAAACCTTATTGTTGCATTTTCTATTTATGCTGCAGAGGTTTTCATGTATACCGAACTTTAACAAAAGTAGTAATAGCAAAATAATTTAAAAATGTGTTCTACAAAAAAAAAACCGACTTCTATTGTGGCAAAACCAGTTATTTTGATTTAAAATCCAAACTACTCAATCGACTTTGGTAAAATTTACAAAGAACCAATCTGCTAAAATATCCATTCAAATAAAGATTTTTATAAATTCATTTATAACTGACGGCATTATAAGATCAGAAATATAAAAAAAAATACAACCGAAATGAGAACCTTTTTCTTTTTGAAGTTGGTTGCAAATATGCTAAGATTATTCACCAAATAAGTTAGACAATTTCATATTGGTATATATTCTTCTTCTTCTTATATCGTTGCCTACTTAACTAATTATAAATAGGTATCGAAATCGAAATAGATTTTATTATCACGAGAAATGTTATTCTGTGATTACCCTATTAGGTATTAGCCCCAACTGTTACAATCGTCTCTATTTTATTACCACATTCATTCTTTATTCTATCTTCCATATTTCGAGCTGATCCGTCGCCCATATTCAATAGCCAGGACGGAACGCTCTCTCATTTACGCCACCCAGAACATAAACATAACGCCATAAAGGTCCCCATTGATTTGTGTAGTTATTGACGTTAATTATATAATTATATACGCATATATACGCAAAATATGTATATTAATGTAATTAATATGTAAATGTTGCTCATAAATATAATTGTTTTTTTTAATTTTGCAAGCTTTTAGTAAACGAATAGGTAATTATTGAATATAGGTTCTAAAAAATATGTACTTGCTAGTAATTTGAGAAGTATCTGCATTCATTTAAATTAATAGTAAAAATAGATTATTAATACCCAATAAATAATAGTTTTTAGGATTTGTTATATCATCATGATATCAGCCCTTAACTGTCCACTGCAAAACATAAGCCTCATAAGGAGGATTTTGCCAGTATTTGTTACGATTAGCTGTCGGGTTGGCAAGCCCAATTAGTGCTTTAGTGATGTTTTGCGAGCGACGTAGCTGCCTATCCCTTGACCATTAAGTTCCCTCAGTCGCCTCTTACAACACATGCAAGAAAGGAAGGGGTAGCCTATTTATTCTATGCTGGGACCACACGACATATTTGTTATATATAAATACTTAATTAATATGAATTTTAAATTTTTTCAATGGTTTCAGAATCTAATGCAGATTTTGAATGTTCTATTCTGTCTCATATTTATCTGGACGAATGTATTTAAATACACCAGAGGAAGACTTTGTACAAAAGTCGATTGCTTGGGTAGCTCTGTCCCATTCGTGTTTCAACCGTGAAGCAGTTGTGTTTGCATGACTGTGTTTCGGTTTGAAGGGTGGGATATGGCGTGAATTAACTGGGTACAAAGGAATAAGACCTGAGTCCTCAGGAATGGCAACGCATGGGAGGTATCATGGGCGAAACAATATACTCTGTTATGTCCATGGTACTGCTCATGTCTAAAAGCGACGGTTACCACTTTCCATCAGGTGGGCCGTCAGCTTGTTTGCCATTTTAAGTTGTATAAAACAAAAAAAAAACAAGTTATATTATTAATTTTTCTTATGGTTACTACGGAGATTAATAAATCAGTTTAGATAAAGCAATGATAGATAGAGAAATAGTAAAGACGAGATCATTAGATGAAAATAGAATAATAAAATTATCGTGGTTAATTCTTGTTGAATTTTTCACGAAGGGCCAACTGACCTGCCTTCATCCTCACCTTTTATCTATAACTGGTACCTCGCCAGCGTATGATAGCGCAGGCAGAGCCATCATTCCTTTTTCACCTATTAAACAAAAACCGTCTACGCTATCGGTATACGATGGTAGTGTATCAATGAATGATAACAGAAGAAGATGAAGTCCCGTTAGTTGGTCCATACGGAGAATTCACCAAGTATTAACCACGACGATCTCCAAAAGGAATCACGTAAAGTTCGACCTGATAAATTATATACTGGCAATTGATTTGCTAAACCCTATTACTTACAAAACCCCTCCTCTACCCTGCGTAAAAGGCTTGGTCTTATAGGTAAAAAAATAATAATGGTCATCTATAATCATTAGTATAGATTGGAGATTGGATTTATGTTGCAAGTACCGAGAATTAAGTATACCAAAGATCATATTTGTATTGTTGATTCTGAAAAAAACTTTTCACTTTTTAATGCAATGTTGTAATCATCATTATCATCGTATCAGCCGATATATGTCTACTTTTGAACATATGCTTCTCTTATAAATTGCCATAAGAAATAGTCTTAGGTCACCTGCATCCACTGACTTTGCATTGCATTTGAAGTCTACGAATGTTGCAATAATGAGGTGCAAATTACGAAATAACTACAGATCTTTGAAGAGTTGACGCTTAATTACTATTTGATTTTACAATATGTAGAATTATATACAAATCTATGGTTTCAATTAATTAAATTGCTAACCTATGATAACTATGAAAATTTTTATCTTACGATATGTTAGATAATCCTATGAATTTAAAACGGAGCACAATTATTTTCATATTTATTATTCGCTGATGTATTTTATTTATGTGATATTAAAATAATTTATCTTTGTTGCTACTTGAATTCTAGAGACTACTATATTTTTTACATAGTATGATTTTGTTTGTATTCAATATAGTGCACAATTATTTACATACACTACATAGGTAAAATAGACGTAGATTATTATGAATAAATTAATCATTTAACTACCCGTGCAGGTCCCGGCATAGAATAGGCCACCCCTTCTTTTCCCGTGGGTGTCGTAAGAGACGACTAAGGGAGCTTATAGTAGAGAAATGAACAGCAGCGTTCCTCTTAAAACATCACCAAACGCCAAACTGCGGTTGCAATCCCGCGTGCCAAACGTGGCAACTACTGGCAAAACCCTTATGAAGGAGGCTATGTTCAGCAGCGGACAGATAACGGCTGATACAACATTAACTATTTACTAGTATACAAAAAAAATGCAATTGAAATCAATGTTTGTATAAATAGCCTTTTGCTGATGTGGAACAACCTTGAATAAGTGTCGCTAATATTTACGCAAACGCTGCCTCATCTCGTTTCGATCAAACTTT